GAACTATAATTTACTTTAATATAAGTGTCATCTTATAGTTTATTGTGCTTTTTATAAAGCGCAGAGCAGCTTCAAAATCGGACGCCCATCCTGTTTTCACCCAGCTTCTTTTGGAGCTTAATATGGGTAGTCTAGTTCTACACGGTGAGAGCTTAATACATTTTTAAAGGGCCGAAAGTCTCAAGACAGCAAGCTTGCTGAAATAACTACGTACGTTTAAATGGACGAGTGATAGATGTGTTAGGGGCTGTTTAATGAACACCAACTTATGTAATCAAATTAAACGTCGCAAAAGCGTCAAAAAGCCAGTGTTTGTTGTTTTTTTTTTCTATAAAATTAGCCTAACGGTCGGCGGTACCGGTACATGACGTCACGTGCGAGCGTTAACTCGTTGACGATGTGCTAAGTGGGGGAATGAAAAAGGTGGGGTTCAAGAAATGCGACTAGGCAAGCTTTTTACATTTCTTGACCCTTCTTAATAGTTCCATCGTCCCCACTGAGAAAATGGATCACCAATGAATGACGCGTCATACTTCTATAGCTGGTCTTTCTCCCACAACCATCCCCTGTTTTCACGAAAAAAAAAAAAAACCTGACCCGTCTCCAAAATCACATCGCTGAGTTCTACTCAACCTCTCCACGCCACAAATCACAATTTCTATCTGAAACAATATGTTCATATGTTTGCTCTGTAATAATTCACGCTGTCACTAATATCATAAGAGCGACGTCATTTATGTGCGATCTAATATTGATTTGATTACTGTAAATAAAGTGTTCAAAAGTTCGACCTCCCAACAATTGTTGTGGTCTTGGATGCACACTATTAAGTCTGATAAGGTCTATTAGTCATTCATGTCGACTGTATTTTAAAAAAAAAAGAAAAATTACTATACAGGGGGTCATCCATAAATGACGTCACGCTTTTTTGACGATTTTTTACCCCCCCCCCCCTCCCCCACACGTCGTCACAAAAAGCCAGACCCCCCACCCCCCTAAAGTGACGTCACACCTCAGCCTACAACCCCCCTCAAAATTGCAGTTGAATTGTTTGTAAACAGCTATATTTTTCCAAAATCTTGTCTGAACTCTGTCAAAATAGAGTGTTTTAATCAATTGTTATTACAATGTATTAAAACAGTTTTCTAAAACGCAAAATTACGTCTAAAATTCGTCACACCATGTGAACACCCCTCCCCCTCATCACACAACGTCACAAAATTACGGACCCCCCTCCCCCCTACGAGTGTGACGTCATTTATGGACGACCCCCAGGCATGTATTAAAACAATACAAAGCAATCATATTAAACCACAAAATCAACACAAAAGACATGCGAATAGACAATTTATTGTTTTTGAAACATGGCCGCTGCTTCAATTTACTCATTGTTGTCTCGAACGGGGTAGTTTAAAGTTTATTCCAGGATATTTATGACTGGTTTGGTCTTGGATTGTGATTTGTTATTCAATTATCTGTTATATTATGTAAAATATGACATAAATATGACCAAATGAAAGAAATATTCATTAGTTACCTTCATCGCACATTACTAGCTACGTTGGAATTTACGACGCTAAACTAAGATTTTACCGATTCTAGATCTAGTTCTAGACCTAGAAGTAAAAGATAGGTGTCAGTATAACGAAATATACATTATTTTTATTGAACGTTCAACACTACGATGCTGTATCCAAGTGACTGACTAGGTCACTAGCACTAGTGACTTAACTGACTAGCTAGTAGCTAGTGACACTAGCACTAGACTAGATTCTAGATCACAGATCTAGATCTAGATGACTAGATTTATTTTAACAATTTGTGCTATTTAGTTGAATTTAGAATCTCGATCTATTCTAGAATAATTCTACGGTTACCATTTGTGTTACGTAGAAATTTTGTAGAATTCTAGACTAGATTTCTAAATTGAGTAAATTCGAATAAAAATAAAAAAAAAATGGACCTTTCAGAATTTATCGCATCAGGCAAGTGATTTTTTTTGTTTATATTTTATATTAAACTAGCGTACCCGCCCCCTGTGCGTTGCCGCGGGGATAGAAGAAAGTCTGACGAAATATATTATTAGAAGGATATCTCCAATGCATTACCAATCATATGTTCTTAGACGCGTGTCCTTCTTTTCTAAAACTGTTATTTAAATGTAAACAATGCCTGGGCTTGGATAATAATTATCGGAACACGGGTTTTCCTACACTACCGCATGAAAACCTTGAGTGTACATTAATTACTCACCGAAATAATGAGGTTGAACACACTTCGGTGACCGCCCATGTCTCAGGGAAGTAGAGGGGCACTCTCAGGAGCCCCCCACCCCCGATTACACTACCGCATAGGCGCAGCGTACGGCCCCTGGCTCCTTAAAACTAACAGGCGCCATCGTGCTCATAGGATAACCCAGCGTGCCAATAGCATCCTGTAAACAATGATGCAGATTTCGTCATTCGCTAAAGTGACACAAATGAACAGGATTTTTTTCTTTAACACGTAAAAAAATTATTTGACGTGTTTTAAACATCAGTGTGGCTGATGCAATATGCTAGCATTAGATGCTCAATCTCAATTTCTGACTGGATCGTCTAATAATAGATGCTTATTGCATCATTCGCAAGGTGACGAAACTCTACAGTAGGCTCCTCATATTCAATAAGTTATTTTTTCATCTTTCGCAAGGTAACAAAACTGTACAGTATTTCCTCGCGTTACAAAGTTATTTTTAGAAGCCTGTTGTTGTTGTACCGCTGAATATAGTAGTACCCCTTACTCGCTATGCAGGACGCTCGATTAACGGATGCCAAGTGCCAACATAGTCACTCTAAAACTCTGGGCGCCAACGTGTATTTACGAAAATTGTACCCTACATGGCGCCACCCATAAGAAGCTTTAGTTTTCTTTTTCGCAGAAATATTCTCGGGAGTATTCTCATCTACTCCTTAAAGTTTTATGGCACTCTGATGAACCGCATCCGAGTTTTATTTTTTATATACCATGTATAGAGAAAAAAAATCGCTCCCCCCGGGGGCTCCGCCCTTGCAATATTAAAAAATATTTTTTTTGCAGAACCCTACCATTGAGTGGTCTAATCATCTCCCCAAAGTTTCATGGTACACGAATGAACGGTGTGAAACCGAAATAGACTTTTATTTTTATAAACCGTATATAGAGAAAAAAAAATCGCGCCCTGCCGGGGCGCCACCCCTGCGAAATTTGAAAATGTTTTTAGTGCAGAAACCTTACCAGGAATATTCTCAACATCTTCCCAAAGTTTCATGGCAATCATGTGAACGGTGTCACGGCAATTCACTTTTATTATTTTTATATACGGTATATTGAGAAAAATTGCACCCTCCCGTGGCGCCGCCCTTGTGAAATTAAAAATGATTTTTTACAGAACCCTTCCTTAAAGTGTTCTAATGAACTCACCAAAGTTTAATAGCGATCAGATGTATGGTGTCAAAATAAAATATCGACTTTTTTTTTTATTTACCGTATATAGAGAAAAACAAATCGCGCCCTGCGATTTTTGAGAAATCGGAAATAGCGTAAATTACTTCTTCCGGGCGACAGAAATTACTCAAAATTTGCAATCTGTGTCAAACTAGTAATTTCTTCATTGAAATCTCAAAATTATTTTGCACACAAAGTTTGAGTATTTTAATGGATTCATCCCGGTTAGCTGAGATGGACCAGATCACATTATTGTTGACCTTGATGACAACATGTTAATGTCCATTTTGTCTTTCACACATATAGAGTGTAAATACAAACATTGAGTGGATTCCTCAAACAGTATTAGTAGGCTACTGTAATAAATTCTGTAAGATATTCATAACTAGTTAAATGGCCCGTTGAGGGAGAAATACAATATGCGCTAGATTTATAGTATTGTCTTCTTCTCTAAAATGAAACCAAAATCACTACCTCAACTTCAAATGTAGCAAATTAAATCGGAAGCGAAAAATGTAATTGAAAACTGATTTTTATCCAGAATCGGCATTTTAACTGATTTAACCTTGATCTGCACATTCATACTAAATAGAGTCCTAGTCATACACCTAAACCTTGCACCTAAGCTCAAATTTGACAAAAATCGCATTCAGAGTTTCTTTCAGCCAACTCCCCCCTAAGAACGCCTACTGCCCCCTATAACGAAATAGAATTTATATAGAAAATATACTTTCATCAGTGTTCGCCCCTCTACTCCGGTAAATTTAGTCCACCCCCTGAAAATTTCAGGGGGGGGGGGGGGGAAGTAATATCTGGAAAAACCACTGGTCGTATTTGTAGATCATACAGGCTAAAGGTAGACTCTACCTCTATTATCTAGAGACCCCTATCATGCAGATAGTGTTTCTTTCAGACTTTTCATTCGGAGGGTGGTGGGGGTGGCCACTGGTAAAAGTATATATTAAATATAAATTATAATTATAAATAAAATTTTGCTCAGGGGGTGGGGGGGGGGGGGGGGTTAGATATTCTTCCCAGGTGGGAGTGTGCTCTGCTGCCCTACCCAAAGAGATATCTGAAAGAAACTCTACAGGCAGACCACTTTTAAGATTAGACAAATAAATTTGGCGGTAATGTTAGTGTCTGTATTATCAAGTAGCTATGACCTTATTTATTATTGCTAATTTTTTCAGCATTGGTTTTTTAATTCTATGTTTACTTTAGAATCAATGACGTAATTTTATTGTGTGTGCTTTTCCGGCTTTAGAACTGTACATATTTCATTTCGTTTTCAAAATTTCCTATGTTCCATGTGAAGTTTTGTTATTTGTTTAACTGTGAAAGTTTTTACTTTCCTTGTGTTTTCTCTAGAGCATTCCTGACTGACAGAAAAACAGACAGACAGAAAGTAAAACTATTATTATAGATAAGTTATGATATATTTTTATCGGATGGGATCACTGTTGAAGTTTTTTTAAAGTATAAATCTAAAAACAAAATACTTAATCATAACTAATGAATAATGTGTTAAAATATTTACAGTAAGCAATTTAACTGCGAGCCCAAGTCCTACAGAATCACCACAGATTTCAAGTCGTAATGCTTCAGGCTTATTAAAACTAATCCAAAATGTTGAGGGTTCTTCCAGCAGCAGTGAGAGTATTGTGGGAGAGTTAAACATCCCTGATGATTATATTATAGTTGAAGCCAAGCCAAAGTCATCTTTGGATGTGACCTTTGAAAGGATATTTGGTGATATAACAAAATCTTCTGCTTTGAAACAAGTGTGTGTTGGTGGTGCAACAGGATGGTGGGTTGTAATTTTATTTTACATTAATCTTAAGATAAATGCTATGTAAACTCAATAATTAAACCTATTTCCTGATTGTTGTTTGGTGTTTTTTTTATAGCAAGCTGAGCATTTTTTTAAACAAATCAATATTCAAATCCGTTATATTTTTCAACTCATTAGTTTTGAAACTTTTTTGTTGTAATGTATTTATAAAAATGTTGGCGCTGTAGCTAAGAATGAACATAATTTTTCAATATTCTATATTCAAAACACAAATCCTTAATTTTTTTAAAAATAGGGTAACAGGTTATATGGCTGCTAAGGTTGGCAAGATTGCTGCAATAAGTATTGCTGGTTCCTTAGTGATTATCCAGGTTTGCTTTTAATGTCATTTTTTTAAATTTCCAAACATAAAAATATTTGTAAGAAATCAAGTTTGGCTTTCATATTTTTTAAGTCTGTTATGTCTGTTTGTTTTTTTTTAAATTTTTTATTGATCTGTGTTTGTGAGTAAAATATTGTCAAATTATTAAATAATTTCTGTTGTTGACTACAGGTTGCACAGTATAATGGCCTCCTAACAGTCAACTGGACTAAAGTGCAGCATGCCTTGACTAAAGCCAGAGCTATGGCTAGACAAAAGATGCTACAACATCAGACCGGTGTTACTCAAAAGGTAAGAGAACATTATTTCTGTGAAATTAAAAATTATTTTAAAAATTACTTACTTTGAAACCAATACCTTGTTGGTAATTTCATGAAATTGAGTAAGATATTCACGCTATATGGTTAGTCTTTTTAGAATTCATGCCTATTTATATATATATAAATGAAAGTTAGTGTTTTTTCTGTTTAATAAATGACTTTTGTGTTGTACAGGTCAAAATATTTTATGAAGAGAATTTCTTTCTGGCCCTGGGTTTCACCGCAGGCTTTCTCTTGGGAATTGTACTGTGATCATCTGGTATTATTCTTGAATAAAAAAATTTAAACTTAAGCAATGAAATTGGATTTACTTTATTCTGTGTAGATATGTATATTTTAATATTGAGTTAAATGGACAATTATTTTATTACAAATTTTTCTGTCAGCTATTGATAGAGTATAGAAGTATTAGAAGTATGCATAGTTTGTTTTTACCAGCATAGAGATCATGTAGTGCACTAATTTCTACCTTTGTTTATTTATTTATTTATGTATATATTAAATTTAAACTATATGTGTGATAGCTGAAAATATTACAACATAATTGTCGTTGTGAGTTTTTGCAATGTCTAAGTTCTGATAATATGGGTGAGATTAATGATAGATTCTTAATACTGTTCTAGTCTGTCTGGCAAATGAGCATAAGCTTGAACCAGTAAACTTGTGCACAGTATTTTTATAGTAATTATTTTTTTATTAATAGAACTGTTGGATAAAATAAAACAATATCTCAAACAATAGACGTTTTAACTATGAAGTTCTTTAAATGGAATGATTTATTTTAAACTGCTAGTACATCTTTATAATATATTACAGAAATTTAAGAAAATTATATTTCCAGCAGGATTGCATTTTCAATGTTTATTCTGGAAATTGTAATGTATTAGCCAAATCAACTTAGACATTAAGGAACAATATTAGAAAGTTCTTCTGTGTTACTCTACATTCTACATAATGATAAACAAGTAATGACACAGATGATGCAAGCAAAACTAAAAATTTCACATGTTTGTTTCCTTGTAAGAATTAAACACTGTAATATCGAAGAACACTTATTTAAAAAGTTAAATGCATTTTTTTCATGTTTTGTCTTTGCAGCTGTTAGTATAAAAATGGATATCATGAGAAGTAGGCTACATCTAGTTCATTATCCAATTTTTGTTTCCTTCATTAATAGTTTATTGCAAAGGTCTAAATTTATAAAAATGTTTAACAAAATTTTGTAACCTGCTTTTCAAAAACATGAGTATAGTCAATTAAATGTATTAACTTTATAATGCAGGGTAAAAAATTGATATGATAGATAATAGATCACCCAAAACCAAAGATTTTGAGATCAATAAAAAGACATGCAGGATGGTAAAGCTAATTGATTATATTATAGTAAAAATAATGAGGTTGTCAGTTAACCTCCTTAGTTCTGCTTCTTATATTTTTGATCCATATATACATATCTTACTCTTAATGCTGACAGACACTTTCAAGATTTTGGCACTGTGTATTCTAATATACAATAGAATTAAAGCTAGAAAAAAAGGCAAAACTAATAACATTGTCCTCTTCAGCACTGAAACCAACTTTTGACTACAACTTACCAGGACAAACACAAGTAAAATACATTTTTAGATCAGTTATGTCCTTTGAACTGGTAAAATACATTCTTAGACCTTAGCATACTAGGGGACTGTGTTCAACTCAAGTGCAACAACTGAATCAGGTAACTGTCACATAATGACTAAATGATGTCAAGTGTAGACTAGATAAGTGTGGACAAAAGGATAAGTGTGGACAAAAGGATAAGTGTGGACAAAAGGATAAGTGTGGACTAAAGGATAAGTGTGGACTAAAGGATAAGTGGACAAAAGGATTAGTGTAGACTAGAGGATAAGTGTGGACAAAAGGATAAGTGTAGACTAGAGGATAAGTGTGGACAAAAGGATAAGTGTGGACAAAAGGATAAGTGTGGACTAAAGAATAAGTGTGGACTAAAGAATAAGTGTGGACTTAAGGATAAGTGTGGACAAAAGGATAAGTGTGGACAAAAGGATAAGTGTGGACAAAAGGATAAGTGTGGACTAAAGGATAAGTGTGGACTTAAGGATAAGTGTGGACAAAAGGATAAGTGTGGACAAAAGGATAAGTGGACAAAAGGATAAGTGTGGACAAAAGGATTAGTGTGGACTAGAGGATAAGTGTGGACAAAAGGATAAGTGTGGACAAAAGGATAAGTGTGGACAAAAGGATAAGTGTGGACAAAAGGATAAGTGTGGACTAAAGGATAAGTGTGGACTAAAGGATAAGTGTGGACAAAAGGATAAGTGTGGACTAAAGGATAAGTGTGGACTAAAGGATAAGTGTGGACAAAAGGATAAGTGTGGACTAAAGGATAAGTGTGGACTAAAGGATAAGTGTGGACAAAAGGATAAGTGTGGACTAAAGGATAAGTGTGGACTTAAGGATAAGTGTGGACTAAAGGATAAGTGTGGACAAAAGGATAAGTGTGGACAAAAGGATAAGTGTGGACTAGAGGATAAGTGTGGACTAAAGGATAAGTGTGGACAAAAGGATAAGTGTGGACTAGAGGATAAGTGTGGACAAAAGGATAAGTGTGGACAAAAGGATAAGTGTGGACAAAAGGATAAGTGTGGACAAAGTGATAAGTGTGGACCAAAGGATAAGTGTGGACAAAAGGATAAGTGTGGACTAAAGGATAAGTGTGGACTAGAGGATTAGTGTGGACAAAAGGATAAGTGTGGACAAAGTGATAAGTGTGGACCAAAGGATAAGTGTGGACAAAAGGATAAGTGTGGACAAAAGGATTAGTGTGGACAAAAGGATAAGTGTGGACAAAAGGATTAGTGTGGACAAAAGGATAAGTGTGGACAAAAGGATAAGTGTGGATTAGAGGATGTCAGGTATGGATTGGTCCAAGGGGAACTGAAATAAAACTTTTTAAACCATATCATCCATCAAGATTTGTACAATGTATTCCAGATGAATGGTTACCTTATATCAGTAATGTCTACACTTTTTTTCTTATCTAAAAATTTCCTTGATCTTGTCAGAAATAGTTTTTGACAATAATTAGTAAAACTTGAATAAAATGTACACAAAGGTTTAAAAACATAGCTAACAAACTTTGGAGACCTCAAAATTCAGTTGAATAAAACAAGTTTGAAAGATTTATTTACCAAAAATAACTTATAAAAACTGAGTTATTTAATTTAAAGCACATGATTTTAATAAAGTTTTCAAAATAACAATCAATAACTATATTTTGATCTAATTGGCGAAATCTATCTTATTATAACTATGTATGTTTAATTATCAAAATGGCAATGTGACAGTGACATGGTGTAATTCACTAAGATTTCTGCAGTAGAAATATGTAAGAAAAAATTGTGGGTTTATATTTCTATGTTGATAGCACTATAAAAGAAGTTTAGTTTAAATATTAGGTTAATGCAAATTTATTGTACAGTAAATTTCAAGCACAAAAATAAAAGAAATAAACAGTAGCAATTTTCAAAGTAAGATTATTTGATAATCACTCGAAAAAGTTTAATTTAACACTTTTTACATAATTATATGTAGAAAAAAAAAACAGCTTACATTTATCAAATTGAGCATAAATGTAAAGAACAAAATTATCAAGATGGACATAAGAAAAAACAAATATATATATTAGCAGTATTTATCTTGTAAACAAAAAATGTATATACAAATAAACTAAAAAGCAGGAGGGATGTTTTAGAAATTAATCTCTTAACCTGTGGTTTTCATGGTCCAGGGAAAAAAATGAAGCTTTAAATCACATATTTTGATATTGAGTTACATGGAATAAAAATAAATCTGAACAGCCATATCACAAGGCAGGGGAGTGGGAGTGACACAAAAACAAAAAATTATCAAATTTAGTGTCAAAACTGTTTTATTCAGTTAAAATTATTGGTGGAGGTGGATGGGATGACACCAATTACCGCACCTGGTAACACCCTACCAAATGACGACATTGAATCTGAAGGCTAATATATTAATGACTAATTAATGATTGTGCAAAATTTTCTGGTTAACATTATCATTACTGCATATCAATGAGATATGAATTCCTCATCCTATACTAGTTATTAAAAACCAATGTTTTAGCTTTGCCAATTAGCAATAAATATTTTGCTCCTATGCCCACATCTGATAATCAAGGCTCAGCTTTAAATCAATCATTAAATTTCTCTGCTGCCATATTTATGTTTATTTCCTTTACTTCAAATTTACTTTTTTTTAAACTTATCTTTACTCTTCTTTCACTATCAATTATTAAACTTACTAAAACAGATTAATATGAAGTGCATTCATATTTACTTGTTTGTACATTTTAAAAACCTTCATTATGAATTATCAAATACAAAGTAGGAAATTATACTACAACTTTAAAGAATATCACATTAAACAACAAATTTTAAAAAGTTTATGAGTATCATTCAAATTTTAAAAACATTGTTAAATAAAGAGAAATAGCATTTAAATTTAATAAAACTAAGTAATCATTGTATTATAATATTCATTCAAACTACTTTTAAATTTTAAAGTTGACTCTATATTTATACATTGTTGAATAATTAATACATGTAGCAATGTATAATACATTACATATTATGAGTTCAATTTTTGAAAAAATAAAGCTACATTTACAGTGCATGTATAGTAAGGATTGTTACATTTTCAAAGTATAAAAATTATTTTAAAAAAAACAAAAAAAAACAAAACAACAATAAACATTAAAGAGTAAAACAAAAGTTAAATAAGCTATTTAAAGAAATATCAACCACTGATATTGAAAAATAAATTGGAATGTTTTCTTTAAAAAGGTTGGTCTACACAAACAACAGATGATTTCTTTACATGATTACTAAATAATAAAATTATTTAAATAAGAGGAAAACAATAAAGGAAATATTACTTTTTTGCTTACACTGTTGATTACTAAGGCTGTATTATTGTTTACAATAACTATAGATAATAGAATTACATGTTTTTGTATTTATTTTATTGTAAAAAAAAATAATTAAAGTTCCCTTTTCAAACCTGACAGTCTATAGAAAAGTGAAGTAGAGTTCACTTGTTTCTGTGACCTCGGCATATGAAGAGATAGTGCCCAGCCGCCTTTACTTTCCCTAACGTGAGTTAGGTACCCATCAGAGCTGGGTGGACTCAGGGACACTCTACTGACTTGAACCCAGATTTGAACTCGAGACTTACAGGTTAGCAGTCCAGCTCTCTACCGCTAGACTACTCCGTCCCCTATTTATTTTATTGAGATCAACTGAATTGTCTATATTAAGCTTTTTATTTTCCAGCAACTGGAATTCAGAAAGTTTTTTTTAATATACTGTACTATCTATTATATCACAAAAATCATCACAATTATTTATTAGGATCAAAACAGGGAATAGATCAACACATTATCTGAAGACAGCAGTACATAAAAATAGTATTTAGTGAAAATGAAAAATGACTAGTACTTTCTCCTCTTCAGTGAGTAGCAAGCAAGCATAATACAATCAGCTGGTATCCTAGCAATGTTGTAAATCCAGACTGGAGAGGCAAAACACCTGAACAAAATAAATAGAATATGATATTGTTTAAAAATGCAGATACAAGTCAGTTATTTTTATACTAATTGTACATCTGTCATGCTGTGTAATAATATCTAGTACTTACTATTTCTTAATTTATAAAATATAGGGCCAACAACAGGGTGTACAGGGCACTTGACTTCATCACTGCCATCATGGCACTGAACTATGTGGTCACACTTTTGGGACATCAAAATGCACATCTTTTTACTTTCACATGTAAAATTATATCTTGCATTACACTGCGACATTGCGAAGTTTCTTGGTAGTGCTGTTGATGTGAAGAATTATGCAACTTAAAAGTATGAAAGTTATTTTTAAAATGTATGATACAAAATGTATAGCTTTATGGAAAGACTAATAATACCTTCATAGCTTGACGAAATAAAAACATGTATTTTGGACTATGGTGATCTATACCCCCCTCTTATATACTATTACATTTGACCACCTCCTTTTAAAGTGAAAGCACAAATTTTAATATTGTTTTGCACTTTATTTTGGCACATCTGTTCTCTAATTTAAGCACAGATTTTCTTCTTTATTGCTTTACATTTTAAAATTCAAATTTGAGTTATTAATAAAACATGGACTTAATTTTGGTGAAAATATATCAAGATTTAAAACAATAATTTAATAATTTTCTGGGTGGTTTCTGAATTGTGTATTCTTCAAATAAGATGCTTCATTCTAAGAATAAGTAAATAGCAATCCAGAATTTTGTACACATGTCATAATTTGCATAATACTTGAAGGATAGAGATGAAACTTAGCATACAGTGGAATAATTTTCTTGACAAAAATCCTAAGGACATGTTAGAAGGGGAAGTTTAGCCTCCACTTATAGACATACATTATGGATATTATTAGAACAAAGTTTGTTTTATTTCATATTAGCTTGCAAGTCCAAGAGCGTTGCTGAAATATTTTAAAAGTCTTTCATCAATGCGTTACCAATCTTATATTCTTAGACGTGTTATCTTGTTTTCTAAAACTAAATTATTTAAATGTAAACATTGCCTGCGCTTGGATCATATTTATCAGGGCATGGGTTTACTACATAAAAGCCTTGAGTGTAATTTAATCACTCTTTTCAGAGAGGTAGAACACACTTCTTTGACCGCCCAGACATCAGGGATGTACAGGGGCGCTTAATTACACTACCACAAGGGCGCTGCATATGGTCCCTGGATGGGTTTGATCATCCGATGTTGTGTGTTGCATTGTCAATATTGTAGGGTGCTCCTTAAAACTAACATAGGCGCTATAATGCTCACAGGATAGCGCAGGCACCAAATCACACCTTGACGGTATGCCGGCGAATGTGCCAGCTTCAGTTTAGTGAACAACGATAACGCACTGTTTAAAACAACTGTAGGTGCTATAGTGCTCACAGGATAGCACGGGGTGCTAAATTGCACCCTGTTGGGGCATCGGCAGACGGCATGATTCAATTTAGTGAGCGACTATAACGCCCCATCTTATCTATTGTCCATCGCACTGTTAAGAACGAACGTAGCCGCCACTGTCCTTATGGGAAAGCTCAGAGTGCCAAATCGCACCCTGCAGGGGCATCGGAGCATGCACCTAATAGTCAAAGATTAGTGTTGACCACCATGTCTTTAGTGTATAGCTTTTTAAAAATTGAACCTAGGTGCCATGGTTCTAACAGGGGAGCCGTAGCGCTTCTGTTCACGCAGTAGCTGCACATGTTGAAGTTTAATGCTGAATATAGTAGTACCCCTTACTCCTATGCAGGATGCCCTATTAAAGTAACCCAAGAGCAAAATTAGCCACTCTGGAACTCAGGGCATCAAACCATGTATAACCATGTATTGACAAAAATTGCACTCTTCCGATGCCGCCCATAGGATATTTTAATATTTTTTTTTCGCAGAAATCTTCTTGGGAGCATTCTCATCAACTCCCCAAAGTTTCATGGCACTCGAGTGAGCGGTGTCAAACGGCAATCGACTTTTATTTATTATATACCATAAATAGAGAAGAATCAAATCACGCCCTGTCGGGGTGCCACCCCTGCAAATTTGAAATTTTTGTTTTCACAGGAACCTCCCCAAGAATATTCTTAACAACTTCCCTAAGTTTGATGGTGATGTGAAGAAAGGTGTAGTAATGCATCAAAGACACACACACACACTGATTTATATATAGGCTATACGTAGATAATGCTATTTTTTAATTTTGTTTCGAGTGCTGTGAGGCAAAATTGGGTTTGGGTTCAGAACCAATTTGAATTTAATGTTTTTTTTTCTTCTTTAGAGTGTAAATTTTTTAAACTGATTAATGAAATAAGCATCTTTTGTAGCATGTGTTGTGTAGGCTTTTTTTTTTATACCTCAGACATTTTTTTTTCCCACCTAACTATAAGATTATATAACTATAATCACATTGTTTATTTCCTTGACAGTTAGTGAGAGGATATAAGGGCTTCAATATTTACTTTGTTATTGAGTGCAATAAACACTACCTAGTTTCATTGCAGATTGCACTAAAAATAGAAAAAAGCTAAGTGAGCTTCATGCTAAACGCCATCTAAGTTAAAACTGAATAATTACAGCATTTTACTTTCAAAATGTACTGTTTTTTTTACTGAACAACAAAAAAATATGTCCTGAATTATCTCTAGCCATTGCCCTAAGCCACAACTTTACATTGGTTAGTGTTTCTCTCAGACAAACTAGAAGATTCCATCCAGCTGATTCCATCACAAAATAAAAAAAATAATACAAATATTTATTTATATACTAAAAAAATTAAAATGAAATTGTGGGTCACTCTAAAAATTTCAGGAAGTTTATTTTATTGTGAATAATAAATTGTAATAGTAATTTGAATAGTGGTGTAGGTATATATGAGAAGACAATATTTGTACATTGTTTAGTTATTTTTGTAGTCGCATTTATTAAATGAAAAATTACATTTGCAATTTTTTATTTGTGAAGCATAAGGAATAACAAATAAAGGCTTGTAACTCTGAACCAAAACAGAATGGTTTAGATATGCTGAACTAATTCTGTAAAACAACTCTTTTTATTTTTTCAAGGATAAACTTTTTAGTAGGTTTCATTTTGGTGAAACTAAAACTTTAAATAGAAGTAACAAATGAAATAAGAAAAAGATTTTAAACAGTTATGAGCTAGATCCTTACTCACGAGGACATGGATCTTTATTGCAAGGTTCTTTGCTAAGAGATTCACCATCACATTTTTTCCCACCAGCAGTAATGCCTAGACATTCTCTAATCCGTTCTTTTTCTCCTCCTCCGCATGGCTTAGAACATTCATTCCAGGCACCCCATGCTGACCAAGCACCATCCCCTGGATAAAAAAATATTCTTAAAGTTAAAGTATTCCTTACTGTGAATGTAAACAGTTTTCGAAATTT